GCTTTGCCCCCTTCTTCTCGACGGTTGTGGTGCCAGGCATGTCGAAGTAAAGAGGCGTCTGATCAGCATTCCCGGTTTGCCCAAGCAGGTAGCCGTTGTTGTGCCGCAAGTTTAGGACAAACTTCTAACTGTGAAGCTTTTCATTGTACTCCTCTGCAAAACTTTTCGCATATGCCCATTCACCTTCGGAGGGAAAAGCCTTTCCTCTTCATAAAATTAGTTAACCAGCACCTGCTCGCTGTGAACTGGCTCCGCATTAGACCTTTTTCTAAGGCTAACTGCATAGCCCGCACTTGCAGCAGTTCTGTCATCACGGGCCGCTGTGCCGCTAGCTGCTCAAGCACATACTCGCCGAGCAGCTCTTCAATTTGCGGAAACCGACCCTGCTGTGGTCCACTGTAGCCTTTGCGTGAAGCTTTGCTGTCGACAATCTTCTGCTTTTGTTTCCGCCAGTCCCGCACGCACGACGATAGCTTTAGCGCGAGAACAAAACGACGACACAGAGACAAGAAGGACACAAGCGCTCGTGTCCTTTGTGTCTTTCTTGTCTCTGTGTCGTCGTTTTGTTCTCGCGCTGAAACTATCGTCATGCCATGCCAACTAGCCCAAGCTGCCACACTTCCCGTACGCAGGTTTCGGGAACTCCGAACAGCGGGGATGCGGCCCGATTTCCGTCCGTTTCTGCACACGCGATTACTTTTCTTTTAAAAGCGGCATCGTGGTGCACTCGAGTTTTTGGAGTCGGCCCTTCCATGCCGTCGATGCTAATGCACTACAAGATGACAAACTCCTCAGCACATGTACGAAGTGCCGCACATGGGAAACACATAGGCAGAAATGGCCGACGCGCCATGCCGATGCACGTAGGGGGCGGCCATTTTGGAAATGCCGATGGTGATAGAATGACCATGTTCATTTTTTTTTTTCGTACTCGATTCTAACGCGCATGCGATTTGTGAACTCGCTTTACCAGAAAAAAGGTGCGCATTAGATTCGAGTAATTACGGTATGTGCACATTGCATAAAAATACGGTCCTATGCTGATATTCTGCCGAGACTCCATCAAATCGCATGTTGGCAAATGTTATTCAGCCTAAAATGAACCACAGAAACTGCTTTCTGCTGGAAACAGTTACTTACAATGATATAGCTTCTCGATTGCACCTGTCATGATTGTTGAAATCCACTGAGCTAGAATGTACAAAAATAAGTGAATGAACGAAGAAATCGAGGCGACACTGGTGATGGTCTCCTAATGAAGTTCTTTTTTTTATATGAAGATGGGGGCATATTATCCCACAAAACAATGACACAAGTGCGATCTGGGACTAAAAAACAAAACACAAGCACTGCGACAAAGTTATCAAAAAAAAAAAAACAATAACCTCCTGATAGGAAACATAGCACCGTGACGTCATTATTGCGCCATAAACTTTGCAATGTGAGACGTAATCAAGGGCCATAAGGTGACGTCATTTCGTGATGATGATTTCTTTTATCACCTGTCCTCGACAACCGGAGACGCCTTCCTCGCCTTCTATATTTGTTATTTTCTGAGGAGTCTAAGGCTATGGTCATAATGGTAACCACCGCCGTTATATTGCAGATGAGCAGCGTCTTGTTTTTTTTCAGTTGATCAATTTGCTTTTGAATTTAGATGCCACACACACATGACTGAATGCCAATTATTATTAGGCTTTCTCACGCGTAGAGGTGACGTGCAAGGGGTGTTCACCTGATTGTGCTCGCTTACTGGTTATATCGACTTCGAGGCACAGGCCTGAAACCCTAGCTCTCATAGTGAATCTTTTAAAATCACCTTTCTGTCATTTATCGATGACCTTTTTATTTATGTAACACGAGCCCAAATTATAGCGTTGATGAGTTTTGACTACAAAGATTTAGCAGTCAGTTACTACATATTATACAGTCGCCGACCGATTTTTCGGACCTGGCGGGGACCGAAAAAAAGTACGAAAAATCGAACAGTCCGAAAAATTCGTTTTCGCCAAAAATCTGAAGTTTATTGCATCAGGCAGGTTTAAAAAAGTCCTTGATGCTGCCTTGCCTCAAACTACGCTTGGAGGCAATTTGGTTTGCCCGTATTTGCGCCAAGGTGACATCGTCGCCGTAAACGCTCGACAAAATTGTCACCGCGTTGGCGATCTCCGACGGCTGCGGGCGGTCGTCGTTGTCATCCGACGACAACGACGACCGCCATCCGGCGTCGACCGTCATCCAGCGACATCTAGCTGCGAACGTCCACTCTCTATTAGCTTGATTATGGCAGCTTTCTTCTCCATCGTCAGGGTCGTATACTTCCCACGCTTCTTCACACCACCTGGCTCCCGCGATGGCACAGATAGCGGAGCCATGGCACCGAGAACACAAAATTCGATGCCACAGATAGCCGCTGCGAAGCACACAACGTCTCGACGCTACGCGACACAACACGTGCAGAATGGCGACTGAAAAAAGCTGCAACGACAATAAAAGAATCCTTCTTTCGCCTCCTCCCCGTGCGATGTGATGACGATAGTGCTGACCGAAGACGAAAAAACGGCGTCCATCACCGCGTCTTTTAAAAAGCAAACACGGCCTCCGAAACTTAAAACATGGCGTGCGCATTCTAATCTCGGAGGCAGGAAAGGCATCTGAAGATCAAGCTTAGCCAAGCCGACAGAAAATCCAACATGGCGGCGTTCACAATGGCCTGGAGCGTGGCACAAAACGAGCGATTTAGTCCGAAAAATCGAACTTTCAGGGGCAAATTCGCCCGAAAAATCGGTCGAAACAATGCATTAGCTCTATGGAATCCCTGACGGTGCATTTATGAAGTCCGGAATATCCAACAAGTCCGAATTTTTGGAGTCCGGAAAATCGGTCGGCGACTGTAATTGTTACATAATAATTCGGAGAAGTTCTGCACCAATAATCGTTAGCACTGCTGCGTGTTAGTCCCTTGTCATTTTGCAAATGAAGTTATTCATCGTGCCCGAACAATTAGATGCTTTCTATGCATTGTTGCTATATTTCATTGAAGACCAATTTTAGCTGCATATTTTGCAACAAATTAGGAGACAAAATCTGAAATACGACGCAGTTGGAAACATTATTTTTCGACCACCCAGCCGTAAAGCACAGGAAGCCCTTTCGACAGAGACATGAACCTCGAGCAGATAGCAGAGCATAGTTGCTGCTACCTGCTCCTTTTCAGGCATACAGTAGTTGCCACAAGCAAAACTGTATATAACAAGAATGTAAAGCATGCTATCATCTGGAAGAAAAAAAAACACCAGCATCAGATGACTCTTCGTGGAGCTGCTTTTAAAGTAGCTCCCCACATTTACGCAGTTTTCAAGAGAATCTAATTTTCTAATGAACATTCATTTAAGTGTTCGCTATATAGAAATCCCAATTTCTCAAAACTTGCTATGCTACCGTGGCATGCAAGCGGCACGACATCACGCGCTTCCATTGATTTCGGTGGCACGTTCATGGGAGCCTCGGCGAAAAAAGCGCCGGGCGCAGTGCCCGCTGAAGATGGGTGAGCAGAATCGAGAAGGAAATGCGCGCACGGAGGAGAGTGTTGTTACTTTCCTAGATCAAGGGACTTTATAGAAAAAACAAGTGCACAGCTTCATCTAGTGTATGAATTTCTTAAGTCTTAGTTCCAACGTGTTTGCAGTGCATGCTGAATAAAGAAAGCACAAGAAAGATAAGAGGAAGGGAAACAAAGGTGTAAACCGAAAGGTAGATGTGGACAATGTGCTTTGGTACACACTGCTTTATGAAGCTTGCATATAGAAGCCTGTTGGGGCCTTTGCCTCGGTTAAGTCTCGTGTGGTGGCACTGATATTTGCACAGGTGTACACACTATTGTTTCTGACACTCATCCTTAATACGTGTGCTTTTCAACTTAACCATCGACAGAGAGGGCCACATGTTTACTACATGCGTAAAGTAGCGCTTTCTTCTATCTTCAGCATTTACAAGGAATGTTAATCAATCATGCTCACTCGCGCATGTGTGATGTCAGCCGTCTGTTTTTAAAGATGAATATGTTTTAATAGTGTTTCTGCAAGTCCAGCTTGTAGTGCAGGCAAGCTACTAAATTGCACGGGAAAATAAGAACCAAGATTGAAAAGCTGGTCACTTCCGAGCTTAAGCGCAGTCTTGATCTGGTTGACGAACCTAGTTCACGTTAATACTTTCTTTAATTCGTTCAGGTAATGAATGAATTCAATTAAAATCTGCGTTACCTTGTTCCAAACAATGTAACGGCTCTTTAGTTACCTGAATAGTGCACGATGCATAGGGAAATTATTGTAGAACGAACACAAAAAGCAGCAGCCAGTCCCTGAAATTCTGCAATAGGCAACTGAACTTCAAACGGTATGAGCATGAGCTTGTTCGTAAGGCTATAATGGTGTGAAACAGCGCGAAAAGAAACGACGGCACAAATATAATAAACAGACAGTGAGTGCTTGGTGCCATATGCTAATTTTTTCGTGCTCATTTTTTAGTGCTGTTTTGCAACGATGTGCGGTTGGTTTTCTTTTTGTGCAAAGCAAAAGACAGCAGATTGAGCTTGCGGGCTTTTTGACAGATGGCAAGCTAGGTTTTGAATATTCCCTATTGGCAATTGGACGTAATGCATCAAAACAAGAGGCAAGCAAGTTCACAAAAAGCATGAACGGTTGATAAAGAGAGGACAACATATGGAAGTCCTAAGAGATTAATGATTTACTGAACTATCAATGTTGGTCAATCAACAGAAACTTGAAGACATAAAATTACAACATCAATAACGTAGAAGCTAGAATGTGCACACACAAATGTACTACTGCAACAAGTGACGGTGATGTATGGTGCCTGAAGGTGCAGTGGCCATGCATGTGCAAAGAGCACCAGTGCGACGGGACAATAAACAAGCCACTCCCCGACGTCTGCCGCAACTTTAGCGGTGCTGTGGTCAAGATTATCGGGATAACCCTTACCAGGAAGGAGCCAATCACGGATGTTTTGGTAGGCATACGAGTGAATCCAGTGGCAGCCATTGAAAGTCTCGTCGTACTGGTAGGATGGGTGGCGATAGTTGTGGAAGCACACGTCCCACAGACCCAGTCGTATGAACTCCATCTTGGCCTCCTGGTAGCTCTCGAGCCAGTAGGGACTCGCAAAGCTCACCAGCAGAAGCAGTGTAGCACAGTAGGCCACCAAGCCCGCACCCAGCAGGAGGCCCGATGCAGGCGGGTACCGGTACACCTGGCCACTCGAAGACTTCTCCATGGCCTGCCAAGAAAATAGACACCAATTTCCACTTCCAGCTGTTTGATTGCACAACAGACAGAAAGATTCGCAATCATTTATTTTTTCTAAGGTCTGTTGTTGAGTGCGCCAGCATAAGTCAAACCAGGTTTTATTTATAGGCTTTAACTACAGTTTGTATAATTGTACTACAGTTAAAACCTATAAATTATTCCCTCAATAGGTTCGTTATTTATTGGTTTTATTAGCCTATGCCTGATAAAGAAATCAGTAGCTTGGATGCTAGCGGGTCGATGATACTGGCGACTATCGTGGACAGGCTTGTGTTGTGCACAAAAGGAAAGACTGGTGAAAGGTACGGGTTTATCAAGGATGTAGGAAGTGAATGTTGAAGGCAATGCTGAGTGCCTTTTTTATTACGGGTTACCAAAAGGCAAAGAATGAAAAAATGTATGATAAAGGTTAAGTCAGGCAAATCACAAAGTGCATAGCTAGATCAAATGAGTTATTCACGCTTTTAGTACGATGATATTTGAATTATTTTTATAACTAGACAAAATAAATTTTGTCACATTGGTCAGAACCAATTTCATAGACTCAGTATCATTATTGTGGTGAGGGTCAACAATTACAGTTGCATAGTTTAGCTTTGACCGGAGAGAAGTCTAGAAAGCAGTTTGTTTAATCTAAGGAATTATTTTATGCCCAGGATTGCACAGAGCACAATATCAAGCGCAGTATTAACAGCGGCCAAAACAGAAAAAAAAAGACATCGGAGGAGTGTAATTTTTACTGTCAGATTCCACAAATAGTTCGAGCAGATGTCATGTGGCACAGTCGGTGAGCAGCAGCCTACGCCAGATTTCTCATTTTCAGCCAAGTAATGCATGATGGATCGACATTTTTGTGTAAATTGCATATTGCCATAACCACTACATAAAAAGAAATAGGAGGTAAGGCCTGCTGCATAGTTTCTACGTGAATGGGTGAATGAGTTTTGGCTGGGTAGACAGTTGATGTAGCAGTTTGTTGTGAGAACACCACTGTTTGAGGGACACAGGGCAGATGCTGAATGGAATGAAATAAAAAAAGTTTATTTGAGCAGAAGCTGATTCATGCCAGAATGTGATTGGCTTGGTATTTTATGATTGTTCATTTATTTTTCATGTGATTTTTTGCATGATAGTGTCTGAGCAAGCTTTATGATAATCAATTTCATCAATGAGGTTATTGTCATATTAGCAACAGGGGCGTGAGGAGCTGTTGGGAAAACATGTCCAACAAGGACACCTGAAAGAAGAGTTAGATTTTGTAGAAAATGGCATCCTGGCCACTAGGGCACCTTCCTCGGACACATGCCTGCGTTAAGCCATGTTAATACATGCACTACATATGGACCCTCAACAAGGATCAAAAGCGTAAATGCAAGCAATATAATAAGCTTGTTAAGATGTTGTTGTATTTAGCATAAATTACGTAACATTTGGGGCGTAAATGTTGGCAGGCCCACAACATTTGCTATACTACTAATGCTGTTGGGTAAAACCACTGGGCGAAGTAGTTTTGGTTTTTATTACTAAGGCTGTTGGGTAAAACCACTGGGCGAAGTAGTTTTGGTTTTTATTTTTAATTGGCAAAGCTTCTGGCCTCCCTAAATTCTGCATCTTCAAGTACATTTTGAAACTATGCAGTAGCGCATCCATGCAGTTGGTTTACTGGACTAAAGGGCAGATGTAACGTGCGTTATTGTGAGTGCATGTCGCACTAGGTCAACCATGGCCTAACACTCGCATCTTGCTAGGCTGCAATTGTAGCGAGGACGCAATGCGCCAGACAGTAGCACATACCCGCCTGCGGGTATGTGCCACTGTCTGGCGGAAAGTATTTCACTACATGCGTGAAGGGATTCTGGCATTATTCATCATCATGGGCGGGTATGTGCAAATGGTATTTGGGTATGTGCCACCGGTGTTAGACTGCTTATATCAACCTAGGAAGGACGACAACGCACTTGGGCAATTTTCATGCATGAACAGACAAACAGACAGACATAAAACTTTATTGAAGCCCTGAGGAACACTAACTCAAAGAGATAGAGCAGCGGGCTGCTCCCATGTCGGAACGGGTAGGCAGAGCCTCACCACCATGTCGTGGGCCCTCTGGACAGGCCAGAGTTGATGTGCAAGTTCTGAGCTCCTGAGCACAGAGCTCCATTCTCCTTTGATTATGCACTGAGAATTGTGTAATGAGGGGCACTGCCAGAACATGTGGTCTAAAGTAGATATATCACCACAATATGAGCATGTTGGACCAAAGCCTTGAATAAACTGGCTTTGGGAACGAAGACTAGGGTACGATCTGCTTTAAAGCATCCGGAGGGTAGATGCCTGGGCCCTACAAAGTTTCACATGAGGAAGGGGGAAGACCCTTCTCGCCAACTGATATTTATGATGCTAATTTTCAACAGTTTGTTACAATCCAAACAGAACTATTGTCATTTAGTTTGGGGCACCACTACACAAGGAAACCTACACAGAATACACCTTTTACAAAAAAAGTTCTTACACAAAATTGAAAATGCCCCAAGACATTTCCACACACATGAGTATTTCTTAAAATATAGAATACTTCCAGCCACAACGCTATATGATTACCGTTTGTGTAAGGCATATAAACAAGAGTTAAAAACCAGATCAGATTTTCTCAAGGGGAGATGCTGGTCGAAAAATGTGTTTTTTCGACCAGCATCTCCCCTTGAGATGCTGGTCGGTGGTGAAAAAATGGTGAAAAATGCGTGTTTTTTCAAAATTACCGATTTTTTATTTTCGCCTGTTTTGATAAGATTAGTACCTCTACTGTTATGAAAAAAATAATATAGGTCGAGACTTAACTGGATATGCTTTCGAATTTCATCTAAAGAGCACAAGGTGCCTGTTAAACGGTCGAAAGTGTGCAGTCTTCGAGCGCCTTGCCGCCGATAATGCGCCACCGCTAGCCAACAGTTTCCCTCGCTGATGCAGCACAAGAAATAATAAAAAGAATCACTCTTCTGCGCGTTTTTCGAGCGCCGCGACTGGCTTATCAAGTGGTACGAATCGGGGACCGCCATTGGCCACTGTGCGCCTGTATGTGCTGTGAAAGCTATTTGTGGGGTTCATGTCTTGTCGAGCAGCGCAGCTGAACAATGCTTCTCTTGTGTAATTATCCCTGTTATGAATAAAAAAAAGGCATTGCTCGCATGTGAAAGTCGTTGTGCGGCACGCTCTGTAGGAATAGGCTACGAGCAGCTGGTCCGGTTTTCGGGCAGTTGTCGGCTTGCAAAAGCCAATGAATGAGAGTCATTCACACCCGTCAGCCGGAAAGTTCATGATGCGGCCATGGATGACGTCAGCGCCAATCTTGAGAGGTCGAAAGAGCTCGCAGTGAGAGAACTTAGCAGGGACGACATTGCCATTATGTGCGAAGGTATGTGGCACAAACATGGCTGCAAAATGGCATGACCCTGGACTTAGTTTGGATTTCGCTGTCCTGTCGAACTTCTTCCTAGCTTGCAGTTGGTACACAGCTCTGCCAGATGGAGCGGAAGTTTGGCAAGCGTTTCTTGGCCCTGTCTATGAGCGAAATGTCTGTGAGGAGTCATCTCGAAAACGCCGAGAGCGCCAAACTCATGGTGCTGGTGTATTTTAGTCGCAGTGGCCACTACAAGAAGGATTGTTCTTTTTGGTGTGCAAATTTCATCTGATTTATTAATATCTTTCACAAATAAAAACTCAATTTTAACTTTAAAACTTGTTTTTCTCAAAACAAATTTTGCCATGTTTTCCAATGTGCCCCTCCTTTTTCGGGCACTTCTAGTGCTCAGATCTGCATGAAGTTTTGCCCAAATTTTTTCCAAAGTATGACAAATGCAATTACCTAGTTTAAATTTCTATTATTTATTGTATAATAAAAAAATTGTATGTATACCTTTACTAGAATAGGTGAAATATGGACTTTTTTCGTCTATTATTTTTCACGTGTACTACATATTTTGTATGTGCTTACTAATTAGTTATTTGCACTCTACACTTTATTTGAAGCATTATGAACTATGAATGGCAAAAAAATTACAGAATTTTAGGGATGAAAAGAAGAGGGCAAAAGGGTTAAGGTTTTCATTTTGTCAAGTAGCAGAGGAAAAAGTGTGTAACTTGCAAGAAAAGTAATTATATAATTGAAATCAGCATAAAAAGTTCCATAAACATCTCAAATTTCATAGCCCTAGGGTGAATATTAAAGAAAAAGTGTCCTCGAGTAGCATTTCCCCTTAAGCGCCTTTCCAGGTTACAAGAAAACACCCCTGCATATGCAACACGTAAAAGGGAGTACTGGAAAATACCGACAGTGCGAACAATATATGGAAAACAAACACTCGGTAACAACTTACCAAGAGTATTAAACAGATTAATTTGCGAAAGGCTATAATTAGAGAACATGTATTTCAAAGCCATACACACTTATTTTGAACTCAAGACAAATAATTCTTGAAAAGCATTCTTCTGACGCCTCTCATTTCTAAATCTCATGCGCACGAATAATTAAGGCCATGTAGGAAAAACATTATTTGTAACGCGGTATTTTTCTTCTTCGTTTTCTTTTTTTCTCTTTCTTTGTCTCTGCAAAAGATTGCAATTTTGTAAACTTAGACATTATTGCTTTTTTTTTTCTATATATGTCTTGTATTATATAATGCTGATTTATGTTGGTTTCTTGTTGTTGCATCACTGCTGTTAAGCGCCAATGAGGGGGCCAGCAGCCCCGTCAAGCTGTCCAAACGACAGCTTTTTCCGCCCCCCTTGTCGTATCATTCATTGTATTGATGCGAAAATAAAGTCATTGTCATTGTCATAATGTTTGCTCCCTTCGTTGAAAGTCAGGACAACATCCTTAAGTACAATTAGGTTGGAGTCAGAAGGTCCCGCAAGCTGCCCAACACACCGAGTAAGTTCGCGTGCTCGTGCGTGGGCGATCTCGTTTATGTTGCC